TTTTTTCCCCCCCCCCCCCCTCCTTTTGACATCCTTTCAGTGGGACCAAATCTCAATTGTAGGTAAACTCAGACAAAGTGTAACTGGTGTAAGCTATGTCTCATATAGGAAAGATTCATGACTTGTATTCCATTTTCACCCTTTGTGGAGTGGTGTATAAATAGAGGTGTGCTTAATGTTGATTATTGGCATTGTATTGCAGGAACACTTTTCAATAGGTGCAAAGAGTAATTCTAAAAATTTGACATTCTTTGGATATAGCAATGAGCGTCAGTGGCTCTACAGCAGGTTCTGGTGGGTTAATTTTCATTTTACAGTGCACATAGGAAATGAGATTTTCTCTAAAATCTGATTACTATTTAAGTACTATGCTCTAGCAAAACAGGACAAGTTAGCCGAGTGATTAAAATATGTTGACGTTGCAATGCTTTTAGGTAGCAGAACAAGTCGAACATCGTTTGAATTTGGAAGGACTCATGTTGTTAGGCCCAAAGGAAAGCATGAGGCAACTATTGTTTGGCTACATGGTTTAGGTGATAAGGGTTCAAGGTACTATTTTTATTATTAGAATTAATTATGCTCTTAAGGTGACGCCTTTGAGAACAGTAAAGCAGCCATAAAGATTGTCACAAAAATTGTTAATTGATATATGAATTAGTTTTTTTTTAAAGTTATGATTAACATCATGTTTCAGTTGTTACATAGTGTTTTCTGTGCCTGCACTATCTGGCTCTACTGTAACCTGTATTACACATTTCTTTCGTTTACCTCTATTCTGTCCAAATATAATAAAGCCTGAGTAAGATAGGAATAAGTCATTGTCTCTTTGGATCATTTACTTGATACTTAGGGATCAGGCTGCCAGATATTGAACCAGGGACCACTTGTTCACTTCCTGATTTGTCCTATAAACCAATTAAACAAAACAAAACAAAATAGAGTTAATTATTCATGATGTCAGTGGCTAATTTGGTATCACTAAGACTAAGATTAGGCCCATAAGCTTTCAAATTAAAGAATGTAGTCTAATTTGTCCCTTTCCATAAACCTCTTCATATAATTGGTTCTCCAGATTCTTTGTGGTCCCTGGGCTAAATGCATCACTAGTCTCCAAGTTGTTTCTTCACATTTTCATGCACAAAGTTGTCAGCTCTTATATGTTGCATATTTATATCCAACTTGTATTATCTTGCTTAATTAGCTACCAGAAACTGCTGCTAATTCTTCTCTCTTATATGTTTTGCAGTTGGTCCCAGCTTTTTGAAAGCCTTCCACTTCCTAATGTAAGGATGTGATCATATTATTTATGCAGTGTGATTTCTTTAATAAGATCGAGATTTGTAGTGACTTGTCGGTATCTTACCTTTTCTAAATGGGCTCCAGGTCAAATGGATTTGCCCAACTGCTCCTACTCGTCCTGTTGCTGCCTTTGGTGGTTTTCCCTGCACTGCTTGTAAGCCTTGATTTCAGCACCATTGTAGTTTTCTGTTTGTTCATAAGCATATATATTCTATATTGTTGTATGCTTGCTTAGCAATGTTTTATTCTCACTGTTCATTATCTTTTGCATATTTACTGATAAAGATAAACCACAGAGGATTTATTAACTTGAATCATTATAGGGTTTGACGTAGGAGATATTTCAGAAGATGCTCCTGATGATTTGGATGGCTTAGATTTTTCTGCGGCACATATTGCAAATCTCTTATCAACAGAACCATCTGACGGTATATTTCTCTTTCAGCTTTTTAGAACAAATATTTGATATCTGATTTGGCAGTTCATCATTGCATACCTGTACATAACTCCTTCTTTCATCTTCAGTTAAATTATGTGTTGGAGGATTCAGTATGGGATCTGCAGCTGCTCTTTATTCAGCCACGTGCCATGCATTCAAGCAATATGGTAATGGAAGTCCTTATCCACTGAACCTGAGTGCAGTTGTTGGCCTTAGTGGCTGGCTTCCTTGTTCAAGGTAGAACTTCTTTGCTTAGACATATCTGCAGCTTTAGTTCCCGTGGAATTTGTTCCGCTTAATAGTTGTATTAAGCTGTTTTCTTTCCAGGACATTAAGGAACCGAATGCAAGGAATGAATGATGCTGGAAGACGTGCAGCAGCCTTGCCAATTTTGCTGTGTCATGGCACTGGTACTTTTATAGCAAGCTTTCAAAATATCGGAGTCTTAAAGTTCAGCAAACCTTCACTTATTAACTTTTCAGAATGCAAATATATGAAGGACCTGTCAGGGTGTTACTCATGTAAATTCCGCCATTTGTTGGTTGTCTGATCAGATTCCAATACTACGAGTACCAGGGGCGGAGCTACAGTAGTGGGTGCGGGTTCGGGCGAACCCAGTGACTTTTTCCGGAACCCTGTATTTGTATTGAAATATTTACTAAATCTATATAAATATATACTGCCGAACCCAATAACAAAAGGGGTTTTGGTTCAATGGTAAGGTCTGTGGGTTCGTTGGGAAAGATGGGGGTTCGACTCCCGCTGAAAGCAGTTTTTATTTTAAAATTTAGAACTCACACACTTCAAATCCTAGCTCCGCATCTTCCTACGACCATAAGGAATACCAGCATTACTCTTAGTGATGCCCTATTGAGCAGACCTCTAGACATCTTAAGGTCCTTAAATACAACAGTCACATAATCGCATGTTGTATAAGGAAATGCTAATACAGGACCTCCTGTGGGATAACATCTTGATAATTTTTGGTTCTCTTTAGATAAATCTCAGAATGTGGAAAGGTTGGTTGACAGGATGTAAAAGTGACCAAATTTGTTTAGATTAAAAAAAAAGAAAGCACTGTTTGAAGGCTGGGAAAGATAATAGGGTATATATTAAGGTCCTTGGTATTCCACATAGCTGTAATTTTTATAATTGATTGGACATAGTTGTCAACAGGAAACTTGCACTCTTGCTGTTGTACTATCCTTATGCCATTGAAAATGAAGTTAAAATATGAACCTTAACGGAATACACAATGGTTCTTGTTTCAGGTGATGATGTTGTGGCATATCAACATGGAGAAAAATCTGCAAGAATTTTAAGCTCATCCGGCTTTCAGAATCTAACATTTAGGAATTATCAGGGGTACCTATACATTTCCGGCTTTGTTCTTTTTTTACACCGTAAAGTTCATATTTTCGCCAAGATTTTTCTTCAAGTGTTCATTCTTCCTTCAACAGGCTTGGTCACTACACAATTCCTGAAGAGACTGATGAAGTTTGTCGCTGGCTGGCTGCAAATTTGAGTCTTGGGGGGACATGAAAAATAGTTACTGAAGCTATGGTATACGCGATATACACGAAAAATAACAGCCATAGTATATGAACAGCTAGCCTAGGGAGAGTGGTTCATGGTATACTTTCATTATTGTGCATCCTATTATTGTCTATTAGTCTGTTGTATTGGTAAAAAATAAATCAATTGTGGCTATGCAAGTTCTTACAATTTTGATTTTTTTTTCTTGAGAGGGCAAGGAAATCAGTGTATACTTGTGTAGTAACTAAAATGAAATTTCTTGAAACCCCTTCTAGTGTGGACGATTGGTGGCCACTAGGGTGAATGAAAGAGAAACCGAATCTTTCTAGGAAGTCAAGTGTTCATCAATTGCTTTACAAAAATACAATTGGCGAAACTCTTTCATGTTAAGAATTCAGAGAAATCTGACCATAGATATAGTTTCAAATTTTTGAAATAACAATTAGAGATTAGCTGTTGTTGCTACCAAACCGAAAAGTCAAACCAAACCGATTAAAAAACCCGGTTTGATTTGGTTTGGTATTGAGTAAAAACATACGAACCAAACCGACATATAAATATATAATTTTTATATATACTTTTAAGATTTTACATAAATTTATTTTTAAAAATGTCTAGAAATATTTGGAATTTTCTTACGGGATATAATATTTAATAAAATATGAAATGTTCTATATTTATTAACCTTAAATAATGAGTTGCATGATCACTTTCTTATCAAGTGTTGCTGAAATGTGTCAATCTCTTTCTTCTTCCATATTCATATGTCAAGATCTATTAAATTTTTATATCTTTTTCGAATTTAAAGTGGTTATTATTATTTAGGTATCATATTGATTTTTATGTTTAATTACTAAATTCGGTTAACCTTGAAAGTGTATCAACGAAAAGTTATTGTCATACGACTAAAATATTCAATAGATAATATGCTTGTCAATTTTTAAATTTTTTACTAAACATATATTTACTTATCAAAAATTTAACAAAGTAAGATCGAAATAATATTTAAGTAACCAAAAAAAATCCGAAAAACCCGAAAAATCCGCCAAAACCGAACCAATCCAAACTGATATAGTTGGTTTGGTTTGCTTTTGATAAAAACCGAACCAACCCGATCCATGTACACCCCTAGTTGGCAGTATAAGCAAAATTAATTTGAAGAATGTATAACACATGTATAATTCATGTACAATATGTGTATCGGCTATTTGTAAATTTCACATAATTAATACAATTTTGGTATGTAACATATAATACATAAATTATACATATATTATACATACGCCGACTATTTCTAGTTTAAGAGATTACAGTTATTTGGGTTAATTCTTCATTGTTTTACACCAGTAAATGAATGCACAGAACAGCCACCTCATGAAACACAATAATCGGCTTTAGGAGAAAGGAAAAGAAGANTATATAAAATCAGTGGATAATGTATACTGACTGGAATTACGACTTAAATACAAAAAACGATCTTTTCTAATCGTGTAACAGAATCTTTTATGCTAAAAGTGGGTCTAAAATAAACATAAAACAATAGAATTATAAATTTAATAATTGATAGTTGACACCGCAATACATGTTAAGTGGAATATTCTTCTTAGCTATTTTGTTATCCTCTACCATAATAAGTGGTATTCTAAAAGGCGTGAATGCAGCGTGCACGATGCTTGATTTTCTTCTTTAATGCACTTGTTGGTTGGACAAGAAGAAAACTGATTAATTAGCTTAATGAACAAACCTACAATCACGTCATGATCACAATATGTTGCTTTGCCAAAAAACCAATTAGCGTAGATTGTTATTAACCAATTACTTAACAACTGCAACTTTAACTCAACAAGATCTAAAGACAAATCAAAGAATATGCCTACTCAAAAAATTTAGCCCCAAACTTACCAGCTGGATGACATATTACCTAATGTTATCAATCAATTACTACCAATCAAAGAGCTGCATTAACTAATAATTTAACTCAACAAGATTTAAATACAAACCAAACGAAGATCAGTAATGGTAATTAATCTGTCATGTTTATTTGAATGAATTAATTTTGAGACAATACCATATATTCGTATAAATGGAATCATGTTCTGTAATTCCTTGAGAATATTAGCACATATAGAAATGATTTTCATACTCCCAAGTTCCTTTACATAACTCCTTATTTTTGCATGCAGAAATCAGAAATCTCATCCCCAGTGTAACGATCCGATAGGTTGTTTTGAGCATTTGCACTTCCCTCGGTGGTTTAAGGGCATGAGTAGCTCCGTATGATGTATTATGACTTGTGTGGATCATCGGTTTTGATTTTCAGGTGTTTCGGAATTTGATTTGGAAAAGTGAATTTCATGTTTGAAGCTTTAAGTGGGAAGAGCTGACCAAGTTTGACTTTTGTGTACTTAACCCCGGATCGGAGTTCTAATTATTCCGTTAGGTTTGTATGGTGATTTTGGACTTGGGCGTATGCCCGAATTTGCATTCGGATGTTTCTAGAAGGTTTCGACACTAATTGGCGAAAATTAGCAATTTAAAAATTTGGAATGTTCATAAGTTTGACCGGAAGTTGACTTTAATTACATGGGGTTCGAATTATGATTTCGTGAATTGGAATAGTTTTGTTATGTCATTTGGGACTTGTGTGCAAAATTTGAGGTCATTCCGAATTTATTTGATATGGTTCAGCACAAGTTTTGGAAGTTGAAAGTTCAAAAGTTCATTAAGTTTGATTTGAGGTGCGATTAGTCGTTTCGATATTGTTATGCGTGATTTGAGGCGTCAAGTAAGTCCATGTTATGTTATGGAACTTGTTGGTATATTCGGATGAGGTCCCGAGGGGCTCGGATGAGTTTCAGACGAGGTTCAGATCGTTTTGGCTATGCTGGTTTGGCAGAGATTCTGGTGTGACCGCACCTGCGGAGCCTTGGGCGCAGGTGCGGTGCTGCAGAAGCGGTATTTGAAGCACAAGAGCGGAAAGTGCAGCTAGGAGTAGGAATCCGCAAATGCGGAGGTTTCTTCTCATCTGCGAAGATGCAGATGCGGTGGCCTTGGTGCAAAAGCGAGAAGGGCGCAGATGCAGAGCTTTTCATCACACCTGCGATGTCGCAGAAGCAGAGTTTTCTTCCACAGGTGCGAATGGTCTGGGATCAGTCATTTCCGCAGAAGCGATGGTTGGGGCCACACATGCGGTTCCGCAGAAGCGGCGTTTTGGTTCGCAGGTGCGACTTACCTTGACAGAATCATAATATATATCGAGGTTTGGTTCTTTTTGTCATATTTTGAGTTGGAGACTTCGAATTTGAGCAATTTTGGAGGCAATTTTTACCACATGGATTGAGGCAAGTGTTCTCTACTCGGTTTTGACTATATTTCATGAATCTATCTTTGTTTTTGGCATTTGGATTATGAATTTCAAAGTGAAATTTTGGGGTTTTGTCTAAAATTTCATAAAATGAATTTTTGAGTTTTGAACATCGATTCAGATTCGGATTTGAGTGAAACTAGTATGGTTGGACTTGTAATTGAATGGGTTTTCGGATTTTATAAATTTTGTTGGGTTTTGAGGTACGGGCCCGGGTTTGACTTTTAGTTGATTTTGGACTTTTGATTAAAGATTCCACCTTTATCAATTGAGTTTGTTTCCTTTGGCCTTAATTGATGTTCTTGAGTTGCTTTTGGCTAGTTTCAAGTCGTTCGGAGGTTGGTATGCGCGGGATGGCATTTCTAGAGTGTTGTTTGGCTTGCTCGATATTTGTATTGGCTTGTTTGAGGTAAGTATCTTATCTAAACTTGATTGAGGCACTAGTTGCCTAGATTATTTGTGATAGCTATGTGCTATAGGTGCGCATATTTGTGGGGTTTGAGCCCATGTGCTAATCCCTTAGCGATCCATGTTTGAGGCTACATAGAGGTTTAATCCCTTAAGGAACTTGATTAATGCTATTCTGTGGTGAAATTGGTGATTTGAGTTATGATAACATACTTTGCACATGCCAACACTTTAACATGTCATTTATACCAGTCCGGGAGCATGAGATTTGTTATTCATTCATCACATACACGTATTCTTGTTTAATTGCTCATGTGTGATAGGATTGGACTGGATGCATGTGACCACGCCAGGCGGATTGTGTTGTTATGCCTGTGACCACGCTGGGCGGGTTGTGTTGTTATGCCTCTGACCACGCCGGGTAGATTGTGTTGTTATTCCTGTGACCACGCTGGGCGGGTTGTGTTGTTATGCCTCTGACCACGCCGGGTAGATTGTGTTGTTATTCCTGTGACCACGCTGGGTGGGTTGTGTTGTTATGCCTGTGACTATGTCGGGCGGATTGTGTTGTTATGCCTGTGACCAGCCGGGCAAATTGTGAGTATCGACACGTGAGTTATCCGTGCAGCACGTGAATTGTCCATGTGAATTCAGATACTGATATTATGGCACGCGAGTTGTCCGTGCAGCACGTGAGTTATCCGTATGGTTGATATTGAGCCTATGACCACGCCGAGCAGTTTATGATATTGAGCCTGCAACCACACTATACTGGTAGCACGTTGAATTGGCCGTGCTTGCGTATGGATACAAATCCATCTCCCTAGGATCACCATCTCATGTTTCTCTCTTGATGGTGTACATGCAGATTGTGAGAAACTGATGGTTTTCTGGTTGATGTGAGCTCTGAGAGAGCTGGTTACTGTTATTGGATTGGGTTGCACGCCACAACAGGCCATATTGGCTTATGGTTATTGGATCGGGTTGCTCACCGTAACAGGCCTTATTGACTTATGGTTATTGTATCGGGTTGCGCGCCACAATGGACTGTTGTTTGGTTATTGCATTTCACCCTTATTTGCAATTTCCTTGATTGTTGCATGTTGTACTTGCATATCTTTTTTATATGCTAGATTGTTGACTGAGTAAAACATTTTAAAACAAAGAATTTTGAGCATCAAAGCGGTTATACCTGAGATTTTTCTGATTTGATCATATAGTTGTTCTATACTTGTTGAAATTATGAACTGTACAGGCGTTGATGAGTATTATTTATAGTTCTTGCTTCCTGTACCTCACCGAGGTTAGTTAGGATACTTATTGAGTACATTTGGTCAGTTGTACTCATACTATACTTCTGCACCTTGCGTGCAGATTTTGGCGTTGATGTTGTTGTGTTTGGTAGGAGTTGGCATTGAAGATGTACCT